CACTGGTCTCTCTCCTTCTCTACTTCTCTGCTTGTCTTTATACTTGGCTCTGTATTGTGCTTTGGGGTATTTAATTACACTCAGCGTAGCACTTTATTGCATCTTTATGGTAGCCCTCCTGAGAATAGGGGCCTCTGTGTCCTCCCAGGGGTGGGACCCAGCTCAATTGTAGACACTGGTGGGGACTCCAGGATTATTGAGGTAATCGGAGCCCCTTAAACCTGGAGGGCCCTTAACAGTCATCAGTGATCTGAAGGGTCTCCCTGGCCTTCATAGCTCCCAGCTTCCTCCTCTCCGCCTCTCTCAGGGAAGCTCCCTCAGGGTAGGTTCTGCCATGAGCCATTGCCAGGCGGTGCAAGAAGAAAGGGAACCTGCACCTCTCCCTGAAGACAAGTTCACTTTCGCTCATGACACCTCTGCAGGCTTCACGTTCACCTGGACACATGGGAGGCATTAGTTTCGGCAGATTAACAGATGTGGATGCCGCATGTTGACACTGCCTTCAGTTAAAACCATACTAAAATGCGAGCGTGCCCCAGACACTTGGCTACCTTAAAACCCCAGGTTTCTTTTGGTGCCTTCAAGTTCAGGAACCATGATGTACAATCCTTGGAAAATAAAAGCACTCCTGCCTCCCTTTTATTTCAAGTAAAGTTCACTGGAGCTCAGAAGGATTCCCAGAAATGGGGGTGGCACTATTCAGGCATTGTCCTCTGTCCCCCGCCTCCTTCCCCCGTGGTGAGACAGGAGGCCGCTGGGTGAACTGTGAGGGCTGGGACCTGCTGTACCAGCAAAGCAAGTAAAGTCACCAGCATTACTGAGAGCTTCTCTGTGGCAAGTGCTTTTCTCATGTTATTTTATTTTAGTTGTCTCAGTTACCTGATGAGGCTGTATTAATCTCCACGTTAGAAGGGAAGGTAGTGAGGCTTCTGGAGGTGGCACACCCTAGACCAAACAGCGACTGAGTGGTAGAGCTGAGACTCGAACCCCACTCTGTTGGTACCTGTGTTCCTTCCTGTCTGCCACGGTGCTGCGTAGAGAGGTGGGGATGGAGAATCCCTGCTGAGGTTCATATGAAGTCACTTTCTGGAACACATTCCCATGATCCTGGGCAACTTAGTTGACTTCTGTGCCTTGGTTTTTCTCATCTGTAAAATAGGATGATAATATTTTGTAGGATTAATAAGGGTGAAAGCAGATTATTCAGGTAAAGGCTGACATGCAGTAAGTGCTCAGTACGTGTTCTCTCTAATAGGTTTATAGGTATAATAGTAACATTCATCATTAGTGTTATTTTGCCTGTTTTGTATAGCTGGTAACAATTTTGACCATGGACTGCCCCTTCTTTGTTAATAGATTTGTTGTTAATGAAAACACAGCTCTCATCAAAAGAGCTTATATTTTACAGCATCGAGCCCACAAACAGCATCATGCCAGCCCCTGAGGACATGTGACAGAGCTGGGATCTGAACCCGCACTGCCTGTCCTGGGACCCAGGTGTCTGGCTGGCACTGGGCTGCTCCGTTGTGGTCCTGGTGACTGTGCTTGGCAGTCACTGTGTCAGGTAGATCTGCTCTGAGTGAGTTCACCGTCTGGTCGTGGAACCTCAACACTGGACAAGACAAGACTGCAGCGTCATTCAAGGCCAGGAGCCGCCCTGAGGCCACTGCCAGTGATTGCTGCAAACCCCCTTCCTTGGGAAGTTCCTCTGCACTGTTCATGACGTTGTTTGGGTGTCACCTCCCAGCAAAGCCTTCCCGGATGATGTGTGCCCCTGCACCGTGGGCGCCCAGGCAGAGCGAGCAGAGTCTTCCTCTGCTACTGTGCGCTTTGTGCGAGCTTCTGCTGCAGCTTTTTCCATGATGTGTTCTTCTTGGGGGTCTCTGTGGCTCTTCTCCTTCCCTTGCTATGAGCTCTTGAGGACAGAGGACTGTGTCTGCGTTAGAAACTGCTGGTTCTCACTCACATCCAGTCCTCTTCTTCTGGGGGCACAGGAATGTTACCCTTCCTTGCCCCTTTGTATGGCCACGTGGCTCATTCTGGCTGAAGAGTGGTGAGCAGAAGTGAGTTACATAATCCCAGCTAGACCGTTTATTTGCTGGTGCAAGAGCTGGCGGGGCTGGAGCGAAGTGCTGGGGGGCAGATCTGGGCGTGCCACCAAATGTGAGGTAGGAGAGGTCTTCAGATTTGACAACTGGGGATCTTAACTGCATTATCGAGAGGCCGGGCATGTCAGCACGTCCATTCTGCAGGTGAGGAGCCCGAGGCTTAGCAAGGTTAATCGCTTGTCCAAGGGATCCAAGGCTGGTCTGACTTGTTCTATGACCTCATGCTGCTGTTCGCTGTTCCTGACTTCTTGTGTTGTTGCTGTTGATGTAGGCGAAGGGAGTGTATGTGCTGGTGGGTGAGCAGTGGGCGTGGGGGAACAGCCAGCAGAGTTGCAGGGCTTGGTCTCTTTTGTGGAGCAGGTGTTAGCGAAGGTTGACATCCTCAGCCCAGGTGGTGGCTGCGCTCAGCCATCAGGTTAACAGAGGGAGATATGAGTTAGCTGTTATCTCCTTGCAGATGTCGGTTTCCCTTTAACGCCTGGCTTTGTTGAGAATACCAAGACGGGGCCGTGCTTACTGACCTTTTCCTCGATGCACAGATGGGAATAAGGAGGGTGGAAGGAAAGGAGGAAACAGGAGAGGGATCCGAGGCAGAGGCTGCCTGAGAGGCTTTGGAACCTTGCCTGCCCTGAGAGTTCAGGGTGCAGGTTCTCTAGAGAGAGCGTCCAGGAGTGCAGGCCTCACACTCAGGGCCCTTGCTGAGGGTGCGTGGATACGAGCGTGTGGGTCACGGCCACGGCAGTGGTGCGGCAGGTCTGCAGAGATGCCTCGGGCTGGCAGGGCCTCACAGGGTCCCCAGTGCAGGCTGTGTATTGCAGGTGGATGTATCATCTCGGCTGTTGCTGGAGCTGTGGCCTGGCCCAAGGAGGGTCAGGACACTGGCCTGGTGATCTGGATTGTTGGTGTTGTCCCCATTTTGCCCTGGTGATACCACTGAGGTCCGGTTAGTGTGGACCAAGCACTTTCCTAAGTGTGGGCCACACCTGCATCCTCAGAAGGGCCCTCTCTGAGGTGTGATTCCACATCCTAAGTTGCTGGAGAGGTTGGGTAACTTTCTTTAGGCCTTCCTTTCTGTTTAGTAGAGAAACCGGTTTTGAACCAGGATATGGTGAGTTCCTGACTGCTAGAATTACTCCTCCAGGCACTTAACTTCTCTGGCCACAGCTTTATTTCTTCATTTGAAAATGAAGACAGTGGAAGAAACAAACATCTCTTTGAGCACTTACCGTGTGCCAGGTCCTGTGTTTAGATTGTGCAGGATACCTTATCTAAATCTTGTTTCGAGCCTTGGCATTAGGTATCATTTTCATGATTTAAAAAATAAGAAAAAACATTTTTAATTGTAAAATACACATAACGTAAGATTCACCATCTCAGCCATCGTTCAGTGCACAGTCCGGCAGTGTTAAGTGCATTCATGTTGTGCGGCTGATCTCCAGCGCTCTTTTGATCTTGCGAAACTGGAACTCTGCACCCCTTAAACAATGACCGTTCCCTCCTCCCCAGCCCCTGGCAGCCAGCATTCTCTATGGATTGGACCACTCTAGGTGCCTCATATGAGTGGAATCATATTTGTTCTTTTGTGACTGGCTTGTTTCACGTACCGTGATGTCCTCCAGGTTCATCCACGATGTAACGTGACGGTATTTCCTCCCTTTTTAAAGCTGAGTAGCATTCGATTGTACGCGTACACCACCCAGCACACCTGTTTGTTCATTCGTCTGTGGATGGGCATGTCTTCGCTGAACCATCCATGACAGGTTGCTTCCACCTTTTGCCCATTTTGTTGATTCTATTAATCAGTCGAGCACAAGGTCACAGCTGGATTTAAACCCGAGTTTCTGTTTGATACTCAACTTCTGACTTCTTTTTACTTCTAAGGTTCCTCTAGCTCTAGGAGAAGAATTTTATGTTAATGTGGCCTTTATTAAGCCTGAGACTGCTTTGGACCCATTGAACAGGCACCTTTTTCTGAGTCCCCGCTCAGACAGCGCTTCTCCCAGTGCTCGCGGGGACCCAGTTTATGCCACCAGAGGCCGCAGTGTGAGGTGAAGCCCTTTTGTTTGTGTCCCGTTGGTACCTGTTATTTTTCCAAAGTGTACTTTCTTTATTTACGGCATCTACTTCCAAAGCTCCTGTCTTTGTTTTCGTATTTTAAAAATGACTATCTTGAGATGCCTTTCCAAAATTAGCAAGTACAGCAATACTTATTGTCATGATAGGTTTGAGTTTGCGAGGTTAGCTCCCTTGGGGCCAGTCAGTTTTTCTCAAGCCCAGGTCCTGATAAGTGGATAGCAGTGATGGGTTTTATGGTGTCAAAGGTGAGATCTCTTGTGTGAGATGCCAGAGATTCTGTCTGATTCAATCGATGATCATTTTCTATTTAAGCATTTTGTTTATCTAGGAGAGCATTAATTACTAATTGCTAACATTTACCTATAAATAACTCTAAGAACAATTTCAATAAGTATTTCCTTAGTGCTTTTCCTAGGAAACTTACTGCAGTCGAACACATGATTTAGCTATATCTTTTTCTGACTGCATCATTTCTTAGAGTTGAACGTCTACCGGGAATATTCATTGCCCACATCTTTTGAATTCTGGGCTTTTGGGGCTTCCACGCCAGTTAGGTATCAAAAGCTCATAATGGATTTTCTCCTGCCCTTGAGGAGAATCTATTCCTTTTGGCTTCCAGCTTAGAATAAAAGAGGCACATGAGCTCCCAGAGGCTGCCGCGCTGTCTGCCCCATGAACCTTGACTTCAAGTTGTTATTTTAGCTTTTTCTGCTTGCTTTTGGCAAAACAAAAGTTGAGGGAAGGGGGATAAAAAAAGATAATGACAGATGCGCTCATCTGACAGCTAACCTTAAAGGAGCCTTGTCTGTTTTTCAGAACCTACATTAAGAAACACATTCAGATGCGTCAGCCATTTGTAGAGCGCCTGTCGTGTGCCAGGTAAGACGTGAAGCATTTTCAAAGCTTTGCATTAAATACTCACAGAAACCTTTGCCAGTTGCCATTTTTTATCTGGGCGATCGCGCTGAAGTAACTTGCCTAACACAGCTCAAAGGAGAAGCCCCAGCCTAGGGCTGGCACCTTCCTCCTCTAAGTTTAGGGGTCTGTTGTGGTTCTTCCAACGAAAGAGTTATGGTGGTTTCTTCCTGGGACCTGGAAATGGTTTCTGATTTGGAGTTCTGGTGCGATTTTCTCTCTGTCGTGTTCTCTTTGCCGGTGATCAGTAGACCTCTCTGTTTGTGACTCTTAGTAGCTGGGGAAACCTGGAGGCTTCATTTCAGCCTCTTAATTTGGACCTCACTGAGGCTCCGAGGGGGAAGTGGCTGCTTAGTCCCGCCACCCAGCTTGTTCTGTAGGAATGGTTCCAGCCCTCTTCCGTGGAGGGCTGTGTGGCTGTCTGGGTGGAGGACATTTCCAGGGGAGGCCACCTGGGAGCCGGTCTAGATGGAGTAGCGATTCAGCACTCTGGTTGGACTCTGCACATGAGCACCCTGGGATGTTTTCAGTGGCAGTCTGGCATAAGCTCTCTTCCACTGCCCTTCACCCCTGTGCCCCTCTTCTGAGGTCGGAGGCCATTTTTTGTGCATGTTCATCACCCAGGTGCCAGCACAGGGCTGGGTGCCCGGGAGGCCTACAGTAGGCAGCGCTGAAATGCGAATGCGTCTCAGAATGCCCAGACTCGATCCCGACTCCATCATTGACTATTTGTGTTCTTTTAGCCTTTTATGCTTCAGTTTCCTTGTCTGAAAAAAGGGGTGAGGGAGGGGATGACAGTCATCCCCCATGGTGTCATGGCAAGGACTCAGTGGGCAGAAATGTGTCACGAGGGCAGATATTTTTGTTTCATTCACTATTGTATCCTGAGGTTGGTGCTCAATAACTGTTCATTGAATGGCTGAGTAAGTGAGAAACCCCCTCTCTAAGACTCATTTGTCCCACTTTGAAAAATAAGAGGATGGTGGTAACCTGTGGTTCTTGTGGTGGGACGGCTGCTGAGGGATTCCTTGGGGGCCTTTCCCAAAAGCACAGGGAGGACCAAGCCCTGCCCCTGACGTTCTGACTCCTGCCATCTTGATTGGAGCTTGGCGCATGCATTCTGAAAACCAGGGCTCAGGGGATCATGGAGCACAGCCTTGAGGAACGATTGGCCCTTTGTCCTCTCAGGCCTGTGGCCTGATTCCTTCTGTGTTGGGCAGGTGGGGGGCAGATGGTTAGGATCCTCTCAGTTTCCTACTTCACCGCCCCACCGGTTCTTCAAGGCCCAGCTTATACACCACCTTCTCCAGAAAGACTCCCCGAGCCTCCTAGGCTAGAAAGTGCCCCTCTCTCCTGAGTGTCCTGTGGCCCTGAGTTTTGGCTCCTGCAATATCCCAGTCAGGGTATGGTAGAGGGTGTGTTCAACATGGTACCCCCATGGCACGGTCCTCGGGCTCTTATATCTGGTTGATGTGTTGTATATATTTAAATATGTCACCCATGAATTTATGAATCACTATTTCCAAAGCTAACTTCCTTGGTTTTATAAGTAGCAACTGCTTCCCCCAAGATTCCTTCTGTTCTTATTCAGACCAGTAACACTGGACGTCTTTGTTAGATTGGATTTTTTTTTTTTTTTAAATAAACCAGAGACACTTGGGGAGAAAAAAGTGATTTACTCTTCCTTTGTAATTAGCCTCGATGATGAGACGATCTTTTCCATTATGTTTTATTTTTACTTTCCTGGAACTTATCAAGTGGCCTCTTTTCTATGAAGGTTACCCTTCAAGTGAGTAAGGGAGCTTGATTAGAGCACTGGGGGATTTATTTTGTATTTTTAAAAAATCAGACTCATGATGGAGAGGGCTGATGTGAGCAGATGGGGAAAGGTCAACCCTGCAGCTATAAAAAGGGGCCTCAGAGCTGAGAAACTGAAACTGATGCTCCCAGGAAGGACAAGTTTTTTTTGTTTTTTTTTTTTTTTTTTTTGGCTGTCAACTGCTAGAGTAATTAATAGTCACTTTTATTTTAGAATTTGCTTTATATTTCAGAAAGCTTCCTGAACCATCCTTCATGGCTTGTCTTCTGTGCCCAGGACAAGGTCCTGTATTTTATTTTATTTTTAAAGCACGTTGATAATCGCATCCATCAACTCTGACTTTGCAGTATGCTGGGTACTTGAAGGTGATACTCATTTTATGTTATGTTTTTGGTATAAATAGAGTTTGGGGTCAGTTCTAGAGTACCTTGGTAGACTTCTTAATCCCCAAGAGGCAGCTTATCTTGTTTGGCATCTGAAAGGACGGCCCTAGGTCTGGGCATCTGGCCCGAAGCGGCCTGCCCAGGAAGGATTCAGCTGGGCCCTGCTGAGAACAGTTTCACTTTCACACTTGCTTTCTCTTGTCCACAGCTGAACCAAGAGGTGTTCTCGGGGATCCCTAGTGTGTTGAGAGCAAAGAACAGAAGGAAGAGCATGCATCCTTCTCTCCATCCATCCATCCAGTGAATATTTATTCAGGGCTTGCCCTGAGGCAGGTTCTGAGAATGCGGCAAAAGGGCAAACAGACGCTGTCCCGTCCTCATGGCTGGCTTTTGGCACTAAGCTCTTTCCAACTCAGCACACGTGGGAAAGGAACTGGTACTTTTTTAGGTCCTTGCTATCCTAGGAATATGTAGGCATACTTATTTAAGTCTTGCAACTCTTTGTAAAGTAGGTATTACTAGGGGTTTATATACTATTAATACATATAAACATCATACTGGTATGGTTGTATTTTGCATAACAGTTAAAGCTATGAAATTATGCAGCCCTGGTTTGAAAATAAGCTCTGCCTTTTACCATTTATGGGATGTTGCATAAGGGACTTAAATGTTCACGGCCTGATGTTCCTCTCTGTGGAACGAGGCTAATGGCTAGACCTCTTGGGAGGTTACCGCTTAGCAGGTCGGTATGGATACACAAACATTGTAAACCTGTGTGTGGTGGGAAAGTTCTTTCTGGTTTCAGAGTTCACACTTCTGCCCACGTGTCTGGAGTTGCTTCAGGATTCAGTCCTGCACAGAGAGGCCTTATATCCAGGTCCTTCTAGGAAAGGAAGCTTGTGGCAGGGAAACTGGAGACCCCCGTTCTACCTGGTTCTGCTATGGATCGGATCCTACAGTCTTGGACAAGTTCCTCAACCTCTCCGAGCCTTAGCTGTCTCGTTTCTGAAATGAGACAGTGGTGCATCTCCTTGGATGGCTTTGTTCCGGCCACCCTCTTCATTTCCATCAAGACTTTAAATTTCTCATGGTGGAGGGCTCGCCTGGCCACCTCACTTATCACTGCCACCCTCGCCTGGCACTCCCAGTGCCCTGTACCTCCTCCGCTTTTTCTTTATTTCCATAGCACTTATCACCGTCTAACAGAGTGTACGATTTAGTCTTTTATTTATTATGTTTGTTTTTTGTAAACATAAGGCGAATGTTACCTTCACTGGAATGTAACCTCATTAAGGGATAGGATCTTTTTTTTATCTTGTACCCAGACCTCCTTGAATTGCCAGACACAAACAGGTATGAGGAATGAGTGAACAAGTTACTGAGGAAAAATAAAAAAACAGCCCAGCAGCTTAGAGCTGGCAGCTCGGATAGCTAGGCCTGGCGCTCTCTTTTTGATAATAAATGGTCTCACTGAATACTGACGTGGGGCAGGGTCACTCTATATTGGTGATAGAACAAGACAAAAACAAGACCATTTCATAATCAACCCTGAGCACAGATAAAAACAAGAACACTGCAATCCACCAGAACGACCGCATATTCCCTGCTCTCAGCTCACACACATGACTGTTTCTTTACCAGTGACAGCTTTAGCCCTGCCCTGTTCCTCTTGCTTCTCAGATAAAACTTAAGAAGATACCTGGTCATAGAATTTCTGCTCTGTGACAGCACCCAGTCCAGAGAAAAACTACACTTCCTTGAACCCCTCCCCACGCCCCCCAAATCACTGAACACAGTCCAGATGTCTAACAGGCTCCTCCTGACATCCTCTCACTGAGACATCTATGGTTCTCGTGGTAGAGCATCCCCCTTGCTGCAGTGAGCCAATAAACCCAACTTTGTGTGACTACAGGTGTGTTCCTGGTAGTCTTTGGAGCCTGCGGCATTGTCTCACGGTGAAGAAAGCTTTGTAACAGGCATCACTGTGGAAATGTGCAGGTTATTATTATTAGCTGAATGATATTGGACAGACGTGTACACAGTTTAATTGGGGAGCAAAGCCATACATACCCTTGGTGGTTGTTGAAACAAACATGGATGTGATAGAGGACAAAAATGCAAGATTCGGGGTCTCTGAGCCTCGGGATGTGGAAGTCAGGGAAGGAGAAAGCCTCGCAGGCTGGGTGGTGAGAGGAGAAGGTGGGACTGGCAGAGACACGGGGGTCTTGAGGACAGCGCTGGTTTTGGAGTCAAGAGACCCAAGGTCTTATCCAGGTTTTATGACATAGGAGCTCTTAACAACTCCAATTGTTAGATTTTTAATATGTAAAAAAGGTCAATGATCGCTCCTCCCTAGCTCACATAGTAGTTACCTTATGTGAAAACACCTCAGAAACAGTCCCGTGCTGTAAAAGTGTAAGGCCTTGCTCCACTCGTGGAGAGAAGAAAACAATGTGCTGTTTCAAGGCATTTCACCCATAAGCCAGGTGCTAAATGATCCCTCTCTGTCTTCTACCACCCAAACTTTAGAAAGGAGTGTTGCCATAGGAACCTTGTCGTTATCATTCAGCAGGTGTAGACTTGCTCAGGGGGTATATTTTTTAGAGACCTTTTAGGTTACTTGCAGAGTCTCGGGAGCAGGAGTGTGGTGGGGGGCGCCTACGAGAGGCAGGGGTGAATTATAATAAGGAGGGGGGCCAGGAGGACCCCCCACCAACCAGGTGAGGGGCCCAGGATCCAGCTGCTGCCTTTATACCATCTAC